CCAGACCTGCTGAGCTTTTCCAGCAACTTTGTTTCTGTTATCATTATCCATAACTATCTTAAAACTTACACAACAATGATCACTGTTCCCAAAATGCTCCCCTGACTGAGAGACACCCTGACTGAAGGCTGTCTCCCTTGAGTTGACTGAGAACATGGCTATTTGGTTGAAACACATGCTGGGTGTTTGCTATGTACACTGCTGGCGTATGGTGTTAGCAGACAACTATGACAGGCTGCTTGGTTTTATTTCTGTGCAGGACAAAAGTACTGTGAACCTTTAAGCTGTGACTGAGGGGTCAGAGCAGAAAAGGGCAAGCCAAGGCAAAGATGTTGTGAGCATTCAACTAGGTGCAGAGTGAGTCAACGCAAAGAGATAAGCAAGGATCTCTGAGATGCACCCTGGACTAGTCCATATGGGTGCTTGTTCCTACGTGCTAAGTCTGCTGGCAGCAGCATTACGGTGATAAGTGTCAATGCACTCCAAGTGCGGTGAAGTGCAGAGCTATATTTTAAGTGGATGGGAGATATACCACGAGGGTGCCGTGATGCTGAGACGGGTCACATGCCAATGTCTGCGGATGGAGGCTGAGGGCAGTCATTAGCCATGGATCATGACCTGAGATGGTGGTGACCTGCTGTCCAAGATGGAGACCTGGCAGTGCTAGCGGTAAGCTAGGTCCCACCAGGTCCCACTCTGATCTTCATGTTAGGACTTGGTTTTGAAGAGTAGATGATAGACGATTGTGACTGCTATATGGGAGGTACCAGTAGCATTGACATTGGTAATAGGGGAGTCAGTTTTGCAATTCTTGGCTTTGAAAGTTCATTGAAATTCCTTGCACTAGTTCCTTTTCATGGTGACTGGCTGCCAGATCTCACAGCGAGAGTGTCAAGTTTACCTTTCTTTACCTAGAGTGCAGGGCTGTTTTTTGGCTCTTCTCAGGCTATGGCCTGCACTAGTATATCAGGCCCCAACACACACACAGAGCAGGGGTTCCATTTGGTTTTTAACCCTGTTTATATTCTATTCCTGGAAGGGTAAAACACATACATTCCTGCTGAGAATGGGATGGGTTGGCAGTCTTTCGTCATCTCTTAATTTTGTCTTTCTGTTTGAAGATTCCCTGACTCTCTTCATGTGTGAAATTCCATGGGTCCAAACAGAACTCTGCCAGACAATTACTGAATTTACATCCTCAGTCATCTTTTGGCTGTACCAGTCCTTTCTTTTTAAAAAAAAACACTTAGGAATTAAAAGGTCAATTTATGCTCAAGTACTTTGCGGTTCTAATCCATCATCAAGGTATAAGATGTAATGTCAGAGAGAGATATTGGAATTCTGCATGATTTAACCTCTGAGAGCAAGGAATACATTTGCTGAATGTTTTTCCTCAGGAGATTGAATGGTCTAATGTACTCCACGAAACTGAGAGAGGATTGGGGTTGATATACCAAATAGCATTTAATTTCTATGTTTTATTTTCTAATAGAATGAAATATTGGAGTTGCTGTAAGATAAAGACGACAGAGTTTGAGGAATTCATTGAACAGCCTGGCTGCATCAAGGGCAAGCATCTTTGGACCAAGAAAGAAGCAGTAAGTACAATGTGGAATCTCGTCGTGATAAAATGAGCAATTACAATGGTCCTGTTTTGGCACAATTTCAGCTTGTAATTTGAATCCAGTCTTCCATAAACCTTTGCAGTTGCCTATTTTGACCTACTTTTTCATATGCCATCCTGAGATAAGATATTTTCAGAGATGGTTCAGTTGAGAGACCACTTAAACCATTCACGACCCACTGGGTATCAAGCCCCAATATCCCTACAGTTGTGAAAAATGTTAAGATTTTAATGAAGCTAACAAAACACCAATTTGTCTCTGACTTACTGCTGTCCAGGCAAAAACCAAAAAACAGGTTTCTTCAGTAAAAATAAAAAATAACGATTTATTGTAACATTCTTAACAAGAACAGTATTTGTAATTTATGAATCTTAAATTTTTTTAAATTGCTGTACACACACAGACACACACACACACATAGAAACACAAAGAAAAACAAACGCAATTATTGTGAGTGGAGGGATAAAAATAGAGGAACACAGTTCTGTATCAAAAGTCCAAACTCAGAAACTTAGATGATCCTTTTCTTTAATGATGCCTCAATGTTGTTAGTACAGCAATGATTAATCTTTAGCTCACTGGTTCCTTGGTTGGATCCAGAGTTCTTTTACTGTGGCCTTTAGTGTTCTTCCTTTTAGCAACTCTGAATGTTGTTTTTCTATGCTCTTTTGACAGTGAGTTGGAGAAGGCAATTTTTCAGAGCAAGGGAACAGGGGGAGAGAGAGAGAGAGAGAGAGAGAGGGAGATATTGAGCCTACAAGCTGGCTGGGTCTGCTCCCTTCTGTTTCATTCTCCCTTGCAGGATCTGTGTTAAATACAGTTGATTCAATCAGAAGGTTGTTACTACACTGAGCTCCCGTGAACTCACAACAACTGCTACCGTTTGAAAGATCATCAAAAGCCTGTCTCTTTGCAGAATTGCCCTGAACACACACAGATGGTGTCATTGTGTCTGACTTTAGTGTCACTAGAAGTAACATTGTCTGACATACATCAGTTAGCTTCACTTGATTTTCCAAAGCTGCAAACAAGTCTTTATATTCTGCCTTTTTTAAAGCAGTGTCCATTTTTCTCATTCTCAGGCCATGGTCTAAAAGAATAAGACGATGTAGTGTCTTATAAACCACTGAGATATTGTAACTATAATCACCTGACAATTAGTACAGGAATTATTTCTGGATGCCTATGGTGGAGAACACATTGTGTATAAAACCCTTGAAACTGCTCAATCTATTTGATCCCAGAAGAGAGATGAGCCATAAAGTAGCAATGAAAGGATTTGTTAAAGATACTAAACCACATAAGTTAGGCAGTACAATCAACATCATTTCCCTATTGCAAGTGAAAGTTGAAAACCAGATAAAGTTCTTGCAGTTGCCTGTTTTCAGTGAGTTGTGCATGTGAGTCAGTGCTAAGCAATGTGTTTACCACTGAGCTTCTAGGAAACCACCTGTATTCATTCAACAGTGAGGCTTGGTACATTGGATATTAGCCTGTCCATTGTATAGTTAGTACATGTTGTGATAATATCTACAATGTAGACTTCCCCAAACCCTTTCATATGTACTGAACAACAACATACATTGTGATGGCACAACATAGCATGTCAGGAGTATCCATTCAGTCCACTTTCTCCCAGTTTCCACATGAATTTGAGAACATTAAAGCTGCTACTTGTAATCTAATGTTTAAAATACACGGTGGAATTTTCTGGCTTTGGTCGCAGTCCGAGCAGTGGGACCATTTGGCAATTGGGAACCCATTTAACTATTTAGTGGGCCTTGTCCGAGCACAGCATTGGCATTAACAAAAAAAACCAAAGAACTTTGTGCAGATGTTAGAAATCAGAAACAAAAACAGAAATTTCTGAAAAAACTCAGCAAGTCTGGCAGCATTTGTGAAAGCAAAGTTAATGTTTCAGGTCCAGTGACCCTTCTTAGAATTGATTTTAGCAAGGAAAAGTTTGGTATGCATGTTGAAGATGTGGTGCGGGGGAGGGAAGAGGAGAAAACGACAGGTGGAGATGGAGCCCAAAAAAAGAAAAATAGTTGAGCAGACAAAGGAACGGGTCATCCTGCGACACTCAATAGCCGCTAACAGGCACCATTAATAGCTGACAATGGGATGTTTGTTGGAGCAACCCATGTTATGACAAGCCCTGGTGTGTGGGGGTTGGAGTAAGGACATGGGAGAAGATGCTCTGGCCCTAAAATTGATGAACTTGACATTGAGCCCAGAAGGCCACAGCGTTCCCAAACGGAAAATGAAGGTGGGGTATGTCAAGATCATGAACCAGTCTCACTTATAGAGGGCTTAACTTCTATCATGCACCCCGATCTGCCTCCTCTTGCCTTAAAAGTCATTCCCAAAGTATCACAAGCAAAATTATTGTATAAGGTGTATGTGATATTCAACCTGTTATTGAATCTTAAATCAGACTAAAGACAATAGTCCCATGTTGCTATACCTGTGACCTGGTTACTTTGCTGTGCCTTCAAGAATTTGAGACAACCATTTACATGAACCAGAAACCGACCTGAGCAGTTGGCCTAAGAATGCATTTTCTCACACTAGAGCTGACTGTATTTCTGTTTTAGGATAAGAAACTGGTTGGCTGCCGGCATGATTGGCACCAGACTGGCAGCGAGGTAGTCATCACAGTCTATGCAAAAATGTCTAACCCAGAGCTCAGCTACATAGATGCTAACCGTACAATGGTAAGTGCAACATCATTTAAACTCCAGAATTTAAAAACCTTTAACAAATATAGACGGGAAAGCCAAAGTACCTTGAACAAATTGAAATTTTTATTTATTTCTTGAGAAACTTAAGTGAAAGCATTTAAGAATAAAAGAGATATCATAAAAGAGGTTTTGACAAATGAGGGTGTTGCTTTATGAAGCTTGGGCTGAATTTTACCATTTTTTGGTTTACTGATTCTTTGGATAAGATTCAAAGCATTGGTCCACTATGGCCCACGTTTACTTTTCTCACATAAACGTCTGCTCAACATCTCATTAATGATTCAACTGGCCTGTTCACTTCCCGTCTCCTGGAATCCTGCAGCAGGCGAGGGTGGAGGTGCTTGTTGTTGTTGGGACGATGCAACTTTCACGCCACAGGGGTCATATTGAAACCCAACTGTGTATCACTTTAGAAGCTCCAAACCAGGAAGTGCTGCTCACACTGTGGTATTGCAGTGTTACCCTGCAGCAAATGGCCCAGAAAGAGAAGTTAGTTCCTCCCTTTGCACACAGGGACCTCAAAGATGCTTGTGAATGAGGTGATGGAGAGGACAGCAATCCTTTATCCAGCTAACTCGCTAAGGAGGCCGCACCACCAGACCTAGCCTGGACTGAGATAACGGCCCGAGTTACAAGAAATGTAGTGCAGTATAGGAAGAAGGTTAATGATCTCTGTGCTTCACACAGGTAAGTGCCACCATCTTTTCTCTGTTACCTCAGACTCAAAGGACCACCTACTCTAACTCTACCACTGCATGTGCTCATGCACTGCAACTCTCAGTATTGTATACAGCAAGTCTACTCAACAGCTCACAGCTACTGTGTCCTCCCAACCTACTAATCCTTCCTGCATTCTGTGCTTTCAAGTCATGCACTGGGGATACCTCACCACTTCTCTGGCTCCTGCATCACCACTAATGGCTCTCCAATCCACTTGCACCTTTCTCAGTCTCTCTCTTTGTCTTATTGCAGGGAAGATTGTCTGACAGCCAAGCAGAGATTGGTGGAGATCAGCTCCTCATCCCACATGAAGAGATGGCTGGAGCAGCACATGAGCATTCATGTGGATGTGGACAACTCCGTGGGCTGAGTGAGCTTCATTGTACAGCATTGCACTGCTCTCCCACTCTTCACCTGAATAAGCTTTTGTCTTTCATGGCTGCCTCTCCTCTTCTGCTCTTGAGCACGTAGCAAACTTTTGCTTAGAAGGGGCCTGCACCCCGAGATCCTCAGCTTCATCTCTGAAGAGAAACCCTTGGAGGATGCACTGGCACCTGCACCCTCCATCAGCTCACAGAGACTTTTGGTTTTAGATGAATTCCCGAACTAGGTTAGACTTGGGAGCACAGTCTGGTGAGTACATTCTCTGATACACCCCTTCAGCTGGTCAAGGAAGTAACAGCCCCCATTCCTGGCACTTTGAGAGTAGGCATCTGCTCAGGCCCAGGCAGAAGAAGATCCCATAGTCTTGGCCATTAATGACATTGTCAAAATGCACAGAAAGGCAAGGAACAGCAGGCAGGTTTGTCAGAGAGTCAGTAAACTGGATCGAAGGGTGGAGGAGTCCACCAACATTCAGTTCTGTGCTGGCTCTGGCATACATGTGTCTGGCTGTCATCATTAACAGGCTGGTTACCCCCGTGGAGACCTAGTTCCAGCACTGCCAATGTCTGCCAGATATGCACACAGACGTATACTCCATCTCTCTAACCATCGGTGCTCAGCATCACTGGCAAAGTGAGAGAGAATAAGGGACCTTAGCCTCACTCCAGATGGTCCTTCCTCTTACGGAGACAGAGTGGTGCTGGCAGGCACATATAGGGAGGAGGAGCGAAACACAGGACCCCCAGAAATTCCTGTCAGCGATGACCAGCCTCTGCACCTCCTCCTGCCTATGATGTCAGTGTCTGTAGAAGTTCAAGCTAAGGAGTGTTGAGCCTGCATCTGGCCAATACATTTTGAGTAAACCTCTCAGATCAGACATCCCCAGGATGACCAGCCAAGTCTTCCAAGCCAGTAGGTGAACAGGAGGTGCCCAAGGATTGATCCCAACCTGCTGCCTATCCTGAGGGACTGCACTGCACAACATTCGGATTCCGTATGCTTTCTGAAGCCCGCAAAGCTACCTAACTTCAGTACCATTTTATATTAGTGCCCTGTTTCACTGACTGCTGCTTTCTCCTTAATGGTGAGGAGAACCTGTAAAATCCAGTTACTTGAAAGTGAGAACAGCTGAAAATACCAAGAGTTTTGTACGAGTGTTATGAGTCACGTCTTGAGTGTATCTGTCGTCTCCTAGCAGCCATCCCTGTATGGGTAAAGGACCTTGGAAGGATGCAGAAATCTGTCGGTTCACTAAAAATAAGAATCATAGCAATTCTCCAGTATATCTGGTGCTGACCCCCAAGATCTGGCATTGATGGTCACAGATAAATTGAAAATGAATGGAGTGGAAATCTTTTCGGTTGATGAACTCTGCAGGTTGACGACAGGGTACTCTCAAAGCAATGTGGGTACAGTTTATTGTGACCTGCGCTTAGGGGAAGCCAGCAATGTTGAATAATCCCACTGCCCAGGCTTCTTGACTCACCTCATCATGGGGGCCTGGTATAAACTGGTGTAATCTGAAGAAAGTGGCATTGATGACATCCTGGATGCATTTGTGGGTTGCAATATGGGCAGGGAATGGAGGTGTCACACAGGTACCCAATTGCTCCCTGAAACAAGCCATTGGTGTAAACGTTCAGGGTATCTGTGACCTTGACAGCCATTGGATGAAATAGCCACCCGGTTCTTCTGAGTGCAAGTCATGCTGTAGCAGATTGCAGCATTTAGTGATGAGGATTTGGGATAGCCTTAGCCTGCACCTACACTGTGGATGGGATAGCTGTAGAAAATGACCGCCAAGTCACTGTGTGTGGGTCTGGTCATTCTCCTCAGCCTCCTTTTGGGGCTCTTCACCTGCCACTTCTCCATCTACACAATTGTGCGGCAGATGCTGGAGGTTGCTGTTCTTGCTGACAATATTGTATTTGCTCTTTCCTTGGATACTGTCTTTGCCTGCTCATCTCAGCCACAAGGAATCCAGCAATGAGTGAACATCTGTGGGGAATGCTAGAAATAGAGCAGCAACTTGGGTACTCCTGGGCCCTCACATCAGTCACAAAGAAGCATCATGTTATGTCCTGACTCAGCATCTCATGGTGGCTTCATAACAAGGCCAATGTCTTGTTCGCTAAGGAAGTGTGTAACCTTATCCAAAGTGCTAATGCTACATTGGGTGACTGAAATTCTGGCATTAATCCATTATGGTAGCAGACTCTCCCAAACAAAGCCACCCTGAAACACCATAGACCATGTAAGTTTGTAAGGACAGTTCAATGTGAATGAGGCAGCTCTAAAACATCTTCCAATGTCAGGTGTAAATGAGATATAGAAACATTAATTCCAGATGAAACCTTTAAATTAGTGTAATAGATTTGCTTATCTGACGTGACAAAGAAGCAAATAGTGCACATTTGTAACAGTCATGTTTACTTGAGGCTATAAGTTTCAAATCTTCTTGCAAAGAGAATGAGCTGCCAATTTGATGCCAGATGGATGGTGTTACTGCATCAGTGGATGTGTGATTAATGCAATTGCCCTGGCAGAGCATCACATTCAAACAACTTATACTCTGCCCCCGACGAGAGAAACAGTAACTTACTGCACCCAGTCAGCTTGCAATGACAGCTATTTTGTCTTGTTACTGCGCAATTGAGTTTGGAACAAAGATAACAAGGTTTAAACTTTGTCCTTGTGAGTGACTTGCAGGCTTTGTAATGAGATGCAAAATAATCTGCCTCCCAACCCCATCCTTCATGTTCCTCTTGATATTGTTCTGCCTCCCCACATATCCATTCATCCCCTTGACTTAACCATTGACGCTCCAAATTTACACCTTCCTGAGTCCCTAGGAATATGTTTCACATCTCCCACTTTTTTGTACTCCAAAAAACAAATGCTGAGTTAACTAAAAATAATGCATCAATTCATATTCAAAATCTTGAGTTGGAGTGAAAAGCTTTAGGAGTTTTACAATCAGAAAGGGAAAAATTGATGACCACAATATTTGAGTTGTTTTTGTTCTGTTTTACAGTTAACTGTCCATATCATGTTTGAACAGGATAAAGTTTTTCACAAAGTATTAAATCTATGGGGTGTAAGTATTTTTCATTTTTTCTGACTAATTTTTGCGGTATCTAAATGTAACACAAATTAAGTGCTTGGCTTTTGTTTACTTGATCAGCTGAATGAGCATGACCGTAGAGAACATGGTCATGTGACAGCATCTGGGTACTTGGCTCATTTGCATGTTGAACTCTTGAAAAGATGTCATTCCAAGGTGATAACAGTTTTCTCATCTAGGATGTGGTAATTTCAATACTTTCTGTTACCCCTCAATGGCTATAATTTACATTGGAGTCCAGACAGCGGTATTAGCCAATTTTAGCATCTCTGTTGCTGTCTTACTGAGATTAGATAACTCAGTACAAACCAGAGCATTGAACTTGGGAGCAAGCAGGTCATTAGGACTCATTTTCAGTGGTAACAAGTACCTAATCATAAAATTTAGTTCACAGGATGTGGGCATTGCTGGCTAAACCAGCATTAATTGTGTCATGAACTTTAGGGTGTGTGTTGAAAAATCAAGCCCCACCCCCGCAATTGCCAGAGCCATCACAAATGTGAAAATTTTATTAAACCACCAAATTGCTGAATGGTACCTAATTGTCCGATTCCGGTTACAAGAATGTGCACACTGGGTTTTTACTTACCATTAATAAGAAAATCACTACTAATTGCAGTCAAATAGGTTTAACTAATGTCACAAAAGTAAAATGAATTGCTAATTTATAACTCTACAACTTGAACTCTACCCCTTTTAAAACATTTCGTACCACATACAAAGAGAAAACAATTCACAAATATTACAGGTGAGGAGGGAACAAAAAATTCAGTGAAACACAGTTCTGGCGCCAGTCTGGAATATAGGAACCAATGAATTTTTCTTCTGGTTCCCATCCAATGCTTTGAGGACATAAGGTTGTCCATCCATCCCTCTTTTTCATTCACTGTTTGAAGATTTGCCCTTTCAGTCTCTATCTCTGAAGACATTTTTTCCTTTGAAAAATGGAAAGAGAAACAGAAAGAGAAAGAGAGAGAGAAGCTAGCTGCTCAGAATCTTATTTGACTTCTCAACTAACAGGAGATTGAGAAACTTAGCTGAGCGCTCCCGAACACACATTAGTCCTGGTTGGAAACCAATCCAAAGTCTGTCACTGGGCAAGATTTCCCTGAACGTACACTGATGGAGCCAACTGTCTAGCATCCACTGTCACTGCTTGAATAAGCCAACATCGAGTTATAAGCTGACGTATAATGAGTAATGTATTTTTAAAAACTGCACCATCTTCTTCCACAGTCCCTTTGTTTAAAGCAGTATCTTATCCTATTTTATGGTCCACAGTCAAAAACAAGTGGTCTTCACACTTATCATTCCCTAATTGCCCCTTTGGAGGGTGACAGGGTGCTGCCTTTTTGAACAACTGCAGCCAATATGGTGCTGGTGATACCTATACTGTTAGGGAGGGAGTTCCAGGATTTTGACCCAGCAAGAGTAATGAAATGTTGATGTAATTCCAAGTCAGGATCGTGAGTGGCTTGGAGGGGAAGCTGCAGGTGATAGCATTCCCATGTATTTGCTGTCCCTGTCCTTCTAGAAGTTAGATGTCACAGATTGGGAAGGTATTTTCAAAGGAGCTTGAAGAATTGTTGCAGTGCATGTTATATATTGCTGCCACTGTGTATCAGTGTTGGAGGGATCAAATGTTTAAAGCGCTGGATGACATGTCAGTCAAGTAGCCCACTTTGTCCTGGATGGTATCAAGCGTTTGTGTAGCTGGAGCTGTAGTCATCCAGGCAAATGGAAAGTATTCCATCACAGTCCTGACTTGTACCATGCAGAGAGGCTTGGAGAAGCAGGTGGTGAGTTACTTTCTGTTTAAGCACTTAAACTTTCTTTGAGACTGGGGTATCATCACCTTTTCACTTTTGGGACCTGGCTTGATTTAAATGGGAGTGTAATAGACATGCGTCTGTATTGTGAGGGCTTGAGGTGTTTTAAGTGTTTGGACAGTTTCAACGCAATTTCTAATGGATGCAATTCCACTAGACAAAATTATTGACTGGACACCAGATTAAAACCAGTCTCAAACTGATAAAATATCTTTTTTTTTTCAATTTTATTTGTGCACCATATTAATTTATAGTTCAAAGTTATTTCAAAGCTTAGTTTTGCAAGTCCCAAGTGTAATATTATGGGAAATTGACTCATACAATATGTCCAATGATTGAACACACTTACTTCCAGTGTCACAATTTTGCTAGATCTTTGGCATATTTTCATTAGCTTTATAACTATGAGCACTAATCTGTCCATATTCACTATTACATCCTACTTAACATTTATGGTGTATTCTAATCTTTATGTTATGGAGCTTATGACTTTAAGCTCATTCAAGAGACTTCAGAAAATAATGTAAACTGATAATTAAATGCAATACTGAGAAATTGAGTCACTTTGTTTGGTTGAAAGATTTGAAAGCAGGCACCATCTGCCTTTAAACTGCATGTAAAAGATCCCAAGGTATCCAGAGTCACTAGATCAGAATGGACATTGAACCCCATGCGGCTGGCATCACTGATTCATATTGGCAGTCAGCCAACTGAATGAACCACTCACAAAAAAAGTTCAAGTTGCTATGGCAACAGACACTTTTACATTGAGATGTTGGAGCTCTGTCACATGACCAACCCGTAATCTCTCCTGCTGTTAACTCCTGGCGATTGGAACATCAGAAGGAATTACAACTTTGTACTTGACCTGTTTGATCATATTATGAACACATTTTCCTTGACCATCAAGTGGGACTTGAAACAAGAGCTTCGGGATCAAAGAGGGATGCACTACAGGCATCTTATTCCTGAAACAACACAACCAAACCAGATTATCTAGTCACTTACGTTATTTGTTTTCATGGGACGTTGATGTGCTTAAGTTGGCTTTTGCATTTATCTATATAACTAACTTAAAAGTAATTCATTAGCTTTGAAATACTTTGGGAACTCCTGAGGACATCAAAGAAGCTATATAAGTGCATTTTCTTCATTTTTTCCCCTTATTTTACTCATCCACTATAGGTGGCACTATAACTCCAAAATTGCTGCTCAAACCCAATAAGGTGTTCAGTAATTCCACTTTCCTGCCTGCCTCCAAGAGTGTAAATTTTATTTCTGTTTCTTGCTTTCTAACTAATTTTCTTTCATTAATTCTCCTTTCGATGATCCTGCTCTTCCATATTAGTCTTGCCTCCATATAACAAAAACTGGCACTTTTATCTTCATTGTAGACCTCAGCTTTCAGGTCCCACGCCACCAGTCCACACCCACCCCAAGGTCCATTATCTGCTACTTTTGTTCAGGCTCAGGCTGTCCCTGTACTGCCTTTGTCCCCCCAGGCCAGACTTGCATCTGCTGTCAGTTGCATCTTCCTGTGTTATTGCAGTTCATAATCCTTGTCTTTAATGCGTGTGAATTTTACACTGGGCTTCTACCTGTGCATTATCCTCATCCAACTCTACCAAATTGCTATCAGCAATATAGCTCATAAAACAACTAAAATTAAAGCAGTGTATCTCATTTAAGACCCTCCATATTGATCAAATCTTTGGTAAGCCCCCCAAAAAAATTATTTCAGCTGCCGAATTATGTTCTTCCAATTATGCTTCTGCGACTGCTTTTGGGATTTCTTTTATGTTAAAGGTTCTATTTAAATGCAAATTGTTGCTGCTATTGCTAATTTGAGAGAAAAGCCACCAACTTATAGTATCGTATAAAAGTATTAACACATCTGTAACCGATATAACATAACAGGATTTCATTTTTAAAAAATGTAACCTATTTTTCTAATCAATCTGCTTGGAGATATTATTACATACCCCTGGAGCAGGCAGAACTTGACCCTGGGCCTCCTGATCCTGGGGTAGGGATGCTACCACTGCACCATAACAGGGTTTCAAAGCATTTTATTTCCAGTTGCTAATTAGATTTTTGATTCATACAGAAAGAAAATTTTATTGTCTCTAATAAAATTAGGATTTGTTTCATTGTAGGTATGAAATCCTCATGGCAGTTGACTCAGAGACATGCAAAGATTTAAAGTTGTTTTTCCATTTAATGCTTAAAAAAAGGCAAAAAAGTATAATGCTTATCATTAATAATTGTTACACAAACACTTCAAATTCAGATAGCTGAGTTAGGTCAGTACTAAATTATAACTGGCCAGCATAGGATGCTCTCTGAACTGCAAGTAAAGATTCCTCAAGTAGCAATATTTTTATGAGAAAATATTTGGCAATTGTTGTGTACAGGAGAAAAGTTTTCACTACACCATTTGACGTTGTCTTGGATGCAATCAGCTTCAGAGCAGCCATTGAGCAAGACATTGGAAAAGAGTAATTCTGATTTAAATTTACTCTTACCTTAGGTTGTTGATGTAGAAAAAAGCTGTGTCAATATGGGCCCAACAAAAGTGGAAATCAGCCTTAAAAAAATGGATCCTGTGACCTGGGCCAAACTTGAATTGCCACCTCTCAAAGTTGAAGAGAAGGAACAGAAAGAAAAAGAAGAGGAAGATAAAGAAGGTAAACCTTTAATCCAGGAGCAGAAAGAACTCTATATGGGAGATGAACCACCACCTTTAGAAGATGACGAGTCCGATGACAGTTTAGGACTTTCTGATACCGATGAGGAATTTGATTGATGATGCACTTAACGTTGAGTAGCATTTAGACTCCACAATTTAAATAGTGAAAGACTGCTATTGTGCAATTTCACTTGTCTGATGTGGTCTGTTAGCCTCCTTTTAAAATAATCTGTCTTACAATCACGAATTTCTGGAACTTAGTTTACAGTGTGGACCATCATGTGATACATGTATCGTTACATCAAAATGTAAAAGACTAGAGATTGAAAATAAACAATTATTCAATGATGGCATTTCTGGCATTTTAGTGTGACTTTAACTGTGCTCATTGTAATTTCACAGAAGTATGAAGTATGAAGTAATTCTAACCAGTTACCAGTATCAACGTCTCATCAAATGGACTAGTATGACAATGAAAAACCTAAGGAGAAAATTTCTGTCTATCCTGATAGTCAGAAGTAGGCTTAGAAAAGAATTATTAGCTGTAAAAAGTGAGGATTTTTGACATTTATGCTCAATTGCTAAGGGAATGAAATGCAAGGGAAATCTAAAGTATGCAGTCCAGGGAGAAAGTTGGGAGTTTACAATGTATCAATAAAATCAGGTAATCAATAAAAAGTGAGCCTAGATTGTAATATTATGTCAAATTAGGCCAGTAGAAAGAGAGAACATGCTAGAAATTAGTGATAAAGAACCAATATATTACAAAATTCAAAGATCTAAGATAATGCCATTTAAAATTTGGCTATAAGCAGGGTGAACTGGAATGTCAAGGGACATGTTGAGACCAGCACATTCTCAACCTCAACTTTACTTATGCAATTAATGTGTTGTCTCTTTCAAGTAATTATGAAGCAATTATCTAGATAATTAAGAATTTTGCATGATACTTGGGTGTAAACAGTCACTTATCTATTCATAGAATCAAAGTATACAACAGCAATGAAGGAGGCCACTTGATCCATCCTGCCTATGTTGTAGAACAAATTAATTAATCTCACCTCCTGCTCTTCTTCTATAACCCTGTAAAGGCTTTCCTTCAAATATTTATTCAATTATCTTTTGGACTTTGCTATTAAATCTCTTTCCATCACCCTTTCAATCAGTGTATTCCAGATCACACCTCACTGAGTAAATTAATTCTTTTTCCTCATGCTGCATCTGGTTCTTTTCTTAGTCATCTTAAATCTGTGTCCTCTGGCTACAGGCATTTTTTTTCCATTGAGTAATGAAGGAGTAATTATTTTCAGACAAAACTATTGATAATTTTGAACACCTATCAAATCCTCCTCTGATTCTCAATTCATTTCTTCAAATCTCCAATTCATGAACCAGTTTATTAAGATAGGCAGTTGTCAGGTTTTGCTTAAATTTTAAACCAGAAAGTTTGACTCTTATCAAAGTATCGCCCTGTCACCCTATTGAGTTCAAACAGACACAATGCATGTACACTTGTTTTGTCTGCAAAGACCAGGGCTCTATGTATTCACGTTTGTAGCTTCCAATATACACAGTGCACCATACTGCCAGCCTGACTGGCAATCCTAATTTGAGATAGTAGGAACTGCAGATGCTGGAGAATCCGAGACAACAAGGTGCAGGGCTGGATGAACACAGCAGGCCAAGCAGCATCATAGGAGCAGAGAGGCTGACGTTTCGGGCCTAGACCCTTCATCAGAAAAGGGGGAGGGGAAGGGGGTTTTGAAATAAATAGGGAGAGAGTGGGAGGCGGATAGAAGAGGGATAGAGGAGAGGATAGGTGGAGAGGAAACAAACAGGTCGAAGAGGCGGGGATGGGGCCAGGAAAGGTGAGTGTAGGTAGGGAGTTAGGAAGGGGATAGGTCAGTCCAGGGAGGACGGACAGGTCAAGGGGGCGGGATGAGGTTGGTCGGTAGGAGATGGAGGTGCGGCTTGGGGTGGGAGGAGGGGATAGGTGGGAGGAAGAACAGGTTAGGGAGGCAGGGACGAGTTGGACTGGTTTTGGGATGCGGTGGGGGGAGGGGAGATTTTGAAACTTGTGAAATCCACATTGATACCATTGGGCTGCAGGGTTCCCAAGCGGAATATGAGTTGCTGTTCCTGCAACCTTCGGGTGGCATCGTTGTGGCACTGCAGGAGGCCCAGGATGGACATGTCGTCTGAGGAATGGGAGGGGGAGTTGAAATGGTTCGCGACTGGGAGGTGCAGTTGTTTATTGCGAACCGAGCGTAGGTGTTCTGCAAAGCGGTCCCCGAGTCTCCGCTTGGTTTCCCCGATGTAGAGGAAGCCACACCGGGTACAGCGGATGCAGTATACCACATTGGCAGATGTGCAGGTGAACATCTGCTTGATGTGGAAAGTCTTCTTGGGGCCTGGGATGGGGGTGAGGGAGGAGGTATGGGGGCAGGTGTAGCACTTCCTGCGGTTGCAGGGAAAAGTGCCGGGTGTGGTGGAGCTGGAGGGGAGTGTGGAGCGGACAAGGGAGTCACGGAGAGAGTTGTCCCTCCGGAAAGCAGATAAAGGTGGGGAGGGAAAGATGTCTTTGGTGGTGGGGTCGGATTGCAGATGGCGGAAGTGTCGGAGGATGATGCGTTGGATCCGGAGGTTGGTGGGGTGGTACGTGAGGTTCAGTAGAATTCTTTGCACAATTGGATAATCCAGTAAATGTTCTCCAACTGCAAAATCACATTTAATTGTTTGACACTTGCAAGTTTTGGAATCACATGCTTGTTGGGTATGGTCAGTAGCCACAATATAGTAGCAGAATATTCAGAACTGCAAATTGCAATTGTTCAAAACTGCCGGCTAACCTTACAGTAACTACAGGCTACTACAGCAGATGCTCAGGTTACAACTTGGACTAACTCATAATACAGTTTGGAACTTCAGTATTGCTCTTTGAAGTCCAAGATATACCAGGAGCATCTGTTGAAGGTGGGTATCTACAAAATATCGACATGTGTAGATGAAGGGTGCAGGCAGTTGCTTTCATGGTACATGTTCTGAAAATCTAGGGAATAATGGCCAACTTGGAGGCTTAGAAGAGATGCTGATGAGCTATAACTGCCAGGTAACCACTCCAGTTTACAAGTCAGGAACTGGTGTCATCTGGTTTCTCATGTACCTGGTAGAATGGCAATCTGCATAGAAATGAGAGATTACCTAATTGAGATCTTTATGCATGCAAGTAGGGTTCTTATCTCTTACAAGTTCAATTATCATCTGGCCATTGAAACCTTCAGGGAAAATTAGAATTTATTTCTTAATGCCAAGAATCTCAATTTTTCACTCTCGTCATTTCCCCCAACTTTCTCACCACTACGCACATCATTAAAATGCTGGGAAAATTCCACCCATTGAATGCAACAGCAAGGAATTTATGAGAAATCCATGTAAAATACTGACTCAGCTTCAAATGGAGTATTACATTTCCAGATCCAGACATCACACTTCAGCAAGAATGAAATATCATTAGAAAAAGAGTGCAAAAAAAAATTCACAAGAATGCTCCAGAGATGAGGAACTTCAGTTATGTGGATAGATTGGAGAAACTAGGGTTGTTCTTTTTGCAAAAGTGAAGATTACAAGGAGACTCCACACAGGGATTCAAAATCTGGACATGGTCTGACAGAATTGATAGGGAGGCTGAAGAAACCAAAACCAGAGGACACCAGAGGAGAGGAGGAGGACCTGGAGATCAGGAGCAGAGACAGCAAGACCTGCAAGAAACAATAAGATATAGGCCATTCTGCCCATCACATCTACTCCACAATTTGATCATGGTTGAAATGTTTCTCATCCCTGTCTCCTGCCTTCTCCCTGTAGCCCTTGATGCCCTTACTAATCAAGAACTTATCTGGCTTTGTCTCAAATACACTCAATGACTTAGCCTCTACAGCCTTCTTCTGCAATGAGTTCTACAGATTCACCATTCTCTGCTTGAAGAAATACTTCCTCATCTCAGTTCTGAAGGTCATCCCTTCACTCTAAGGCTGTTCCCTCAGGTCCCACTTTCTCCTAACAGCAGAGACATCTTCTTCACGTCCAATCTATCAGGCCTCTCAGTATTCTGTACATTTCAACGTGATCCGCCCTCATCCTTCTAAACTCTATTGAATGCAGACCCAGAGACCTCAACCGCTCCTCATACGACAAACCCTGCATCCCCAGGTTCATTCTCGTAAACCTTCTCTGGACCCCCTCCAATGTCAGCACATCCTTCCTTGGATACAAGGCCCAAAACAGTTCACAATACTTCAAATGTTGTCTGACTAGACCCTTATACAGCCTCAGCTGTATATTCCTGCAGAAATATCTCTACTCAGGCAGCAGATATGGACATCATGTCTCCGCATCTTCACTCACCTTCTGGGAGTGGAGGTAGCCAAACTTGTGGGAGACACTACTTGGGGTCACTCGGCAGCCATGTTGAATGTGACAAAGAAACTAAAACTGACATAGGAAAACTAAATACATTGGTTGGTGGAGAAGCTGCTTTTAGTGGGTGAGTTTCAACAACTTAAAACTACAACTTAAATCATATCATTTATTAAGGAATAGCTACCTAGATTTCAGTAAGGAACATTACTTCTCTTTTGGTAAAGTTTAACCACAAGTAAATAAAATTAATATACAATGTAAATTTTTATTAGCAATTTTTCATAGTTAGTTTATATATATCCTAAAGTTATCAAATAGTTTTAAACATTATAGAATTGCAGGTCAGTTGGGACAAGAAGAGTGTACATTTTACAGTATGTATGATGTCATGGACAGTCCACATGTACCAGACAAACATCTGCAGGAAGTTTCACCAGCTGCACAAGCTTGAGTTCTGGGTTTTGGAACTTACACAAGCTGCACAAACTGAATGGGTTATGTAGCACCAGGACTGTGACTGATATTCTTGCATAGATTTGTTAATTGTGTTGATGGTTTTAATCTTGCTTGTTAGGAGAATGACAACCTGAGGGGGCAGCCCAAATTAGAAGGGAGTTAAATTGGAAACTGGAAATAGAAAAACAGCCAAGGGAATGAGAAAAGCAAAGCCAAACATCAAGTGTGCTTTGAATGCATAATGATTTCAAAAGGACAGTTAAGGGCATTCTATTGCATACAGTATTTGCAAAAAGGTAGATGATCTAAAGTTACAAATATCAATAAATGGGGCAAATGAATTGCCATTACAGCATTATGGCTGCATGGTGACCAGGACCAGGTATTGAATAGTCAGCATTTATGACATATAGACAAGAAGGAAAAGGAGATGGAGTTGCACTGATAATAAGGAGTTGAATCAGTACATTAAAAAGGG